ACAGCACATAACAACAACAACATTTACTCACAGGTCAGCTGCATTTTTCCAACTCACCAATCTAGGCCTCTTTCTTCCATGCCATTTGTTTCCTAAAAACCTATTTAATCCCCCTTTGGGGTCCTCTAGGACAACGCTTTCCAAGGTTAGTGTGTTTATGAATTACCTGGGTATCTTAACTTGAAGAATTTGCTTTAGTAAGTCTGGCATGAATTTGAACATCTAACAAGCTCTCAGATGATGTTAATCCTGGGTGGAAAGAATGTAGGGAGCTAGTTGCACCAGGGGTTCTCAAACTTCACAGTTCGTCATAATCATCTGGAGAGCTTATTAAAATACAGACTACTGGGCTCCACTTCAGAATTTCTAGATTTACTAGGTCTGGATTCTCAAGTGATGCTGATGCTACTTGCCTGGGGATCACACTTGAGGATGCCCTGGGTGATGCGAACAGTTAATGAGCTCATTCACTCAAAAGCACCTTGGAAGAAAGGCCTGATCATCTACTTTTAAAAAATCAGCCACTGAAAACCCTATGGAGAGCAGTACAGTTCTACTCTTACACACAGGGGTCACCATGAGTCTGAATCAACTCCCCTGGCAACTGTTTTTGTTTGTTTGGGTTTGTTTTAGGCTTAGCAAAGGACTACTAAAGACCAGAACGGAATGTAAAATTGTTTGGATGATTACTGACTTTCAGGAGGGGGTGTGTCATCTCAAGCAAGCTCCCTCCTAAGGCTCTTCTGTTTTCCCCTCTGTACCTGGTCCCCCTCCGGTATTCAAGCCCAATATTAGCAGGTGCCCTTTACCTTGTAGACATTGATGGGAATGTCAATGATGATGTGCAGCAAGTCTCCCAGAGCCAGGCTGGCGATCAAGATATTGGGTCCATTTCTCATACACTTATTCTTGTAAATGATTCTTAGCAGGGTGGAGTTCCCGATGATGCCCAACAGGAATACCAGGCAGGACACCACTGTGTTGATGTACTTGAAAGTGTCCTTGATCTCCGTAGATCCTTGGCATGGAGGAGGGGGAAGAGTCCGTGGCCGAGTCCCTGCTGTCCTTCCTCCATTAGGCATTTGCGGTGGTGCAGATGACTGTGGCAGGCTGCCGTTGGGCCCTCTAGGCCAGGAGGTCCTAATGAGAGGCGTCATTATCTCTCCCATACCCAGAGGTGGTGGAGTGGCCCCCGCTGGCGGGAATCCCGGCTCTTCTCCCCAGACCCTGGCGACCCCACATGAAAGAAGTAGCGCCACCAGGGTGCATCTACACAGGTTTGGAAGCGACTGCACGCTGCTGACTGCTGGAGTGGTCGTCTGGTGACCTCCTCGCCGCATTCTGAGCCTGGAGACCGACAGGAAAAGAAGACAGAACACTTGGTCAGGCACTGTAGCCACATCGCTGCAAACCGCTAGCGCAGAGCGCTATCTCGCTACCACTGTCCGCGCGCAAAAGTAGATCAAATTTGCGCGCTAGTGGACAACTTCAGTACAAGCGCCTGGCTCCAGCCTGCCGGTTGAATATAGCTCTTGAAATCCCTCTCCGGCGTTTTACCTCCCCTGCGTCCCGCGAAAGGGTAAATCACTTACACTTTACATTTTTGTAAAGAGTGTGCCCAAGAATGAGAGTCCAAGGCAAAGGTCTGAACTTCGCGGTACGCCAGGAGGAAGACATGCACATTTTAGCCAAGAGTGCATGCTAACGATGAATCAAGGCACCTACTTCCCAAAGGCATAAGCGGATCTCTGCACTTTACTCCACAGAGACCTCCTGATGGATACCCTGCGCCTGAACTCAAAGACTACTCCAGGCAGCAGAAAGCCGCTATTCCCCAGGCTGGTGGCTGTGCTGTGGAAACTCACACTCACTGTACACACTCACCGGAGTGTGCGCTGATTCGGAAAATCTCAGACTTCTCAACTCTTTCCGACTTGGGAAAATATCAGTTACTGATTTGGCCGTTTCTGTCCCAAGTAGTTTCAGATACTCTCACACTCTTCTTTACCCCAGCCTCTCTTTACCTGTATTTATACCTTTCATTATAAATAATTAAAAAAAAAAAAAAAAAAATCACCAAACTAGTTTTCCAAGAGAAAGCCACATGAAAAGGTTCAGACGCTGATTTTACTTGAGAAACACGTCGGAATGTTTACCTAGCGCATGGAACCCACCAGACGCAGAGGGACGAGCAGGGACCGCCTGGTCCGGAGACGCTGGGTGACTGGCCGCGCAGCCGCTGCAGAAGTGCGCGCGGCTGCAGCTCTGTTCTAGCCTGTTCCCGGAGCAGAGCACGCCTACCCTCAGCTACAGGCGGGTCTGGCTCTGACGAAACGCTGAGAGAATGCCAGACAGTAAAGCCTCCACAGCTCACTCAGGGTATCTGCTGTCCCTAGACAAGTACTTTTATTCATTCGTCCCTTCCCATCAATCACCTCCAAACTCCACCCGCGCCTTCCGACTGTGCTGCAACCTTTTCCCCTTGGCCATGCCTGGACAGCATCAACCAGAGCTGCCCACTAGAGAGGGCAGTTTTCCACCAGAGTCGCATCCAACAGGCTGTTTATTTGTCATAGTTTTAAGTCCTTCAAACGACAAGACTGAATCAAGGACAAATTGCACGCTCGACGCTCCAGGGCTCTAAACAAGAATAGGGCTTTAATAGCAAACGTGTTAATCTGGGTTTTTAATGTTGATTCTGACTTTCCTTTCAGTTAAGTATATCAAAGACTCGGTTGGTTTTGGGGCGCTGCTCTTTGCTCTGTTTTTGTTTTGGTTTTCCCCTAAGGCTTCAGGTACACATTGGTCCTGGCAAGAAAGCATGGTCGTTTTTCCACAGGCACTCTCATTGCCTCTGGGCAAAATGGTGCAAACGGTTAAGCACTGGCCTTTAACTGAAATGTTGGCAGGGATCCCTGGGAAGAAAGGTCTGGTGATCTACTTTGGAAAGGTCACAGCCTAGAAAACCCTATGGAATGAGTTCTACTGTGTACATATGGGGTCACCATGATGACTCC